TGGGTGATAGCAGACCCCTGCTTGGGAAGCTCATTATTCGCTGAATCTTCCTCCCCGCTTTCGCTTCGCGTCAAAAGAGTTTCATCGTCGGTGTCAACGCTGCGTTCGGCTGCAAAACTGTTCAAGGTTGTCTTGTAAGGAATGTCGGTTGCGTCAATCAAGCTGGCTGAAGCGGATAAGTGTTGGACGATCGTAGTGACCGAGGGCAACTGAGCAGCTTCTATTTCGCTCTCAGCCTGCGTAAGGACCATATCGCTCAAGTCCAAATCGGCTTCACTCGCGTCATCATTGGACGCAGCAGGAGAAATCAGTTTTTGGCGTTCGGCGTCGACATCTGAATCTCTCGACGCAGCTCCGCGAGGCGACAAAATATTGCCGTCGTTTCCCGGTGGAGCGACCGTTTTCGCCCTCCTGTCGGTGTTTGTTCCACTGTCTAAGTTGTCTCTTCCATCGCACGTCAAAGTCATGCGCCGCTGTGCACGACGACCGCTCGATTGAAGGGGATGAGGAACAGCCAGAGACTTCCATTGGATCGATTCGTGATAAGCCTGTACATCGCTTGTCCCTTGCTGTTTTTGTTGTTTCGTCAAAACATGAGGCTCAACGTCTTGTTGCTGATTTGTAAAATCCAGCGAGAACACTCCTTTGGTGGGGGGTTCCTCCAGCACAGAAGTCGGACTGGGCTCGAGTTCCAACGATTCTGTGCTGGCCAAATCCTCTGACGGCGTACCAGCACTGAAATCGTAGCTGGCATGATTGTGATTGTAATTGTTGTTGTTGTTGCTGCTGACCACATCGCCCATGCTTTGTGCTCGTTGTTTGGTGGTTTTCAGCAATTCCTTCCAGGGCTGTGGCAGACTGGTTGATGTTGCTGCCGAGGCGCTGTCGGACGATACCGCTGAGACTGTAGGTTTCACGCTAGGACGAAACTCGCCCTCGTCGTTGGTGTCATGAGCCTTGGTACCCTCCGGTTCCATGACCGGACGCTTTCGAGCACTTTTGGGAGATGACCTGTACTTTTTCCCGCCGTGTCCACTGCCACTGCCATGTCCACTGCCACCACCACTGGCAACCACGAAATGGCTTTGAAAAATGTCCACGTGGCTACGTGTCCGTGCCGGAGGTTCCACCGATTCTTTCTTGTTTGTCGCGGGCGAAATGGACTTGGCCTTTCGCTTGGGCACATTGTTGTTGTTTTGTTGGAAATCGTCGGATGTCAGTTCATGGGCAAAACTGTGACTCGATTGCTGATCCAGCGGGGTCATTTCCGTAGCAAACGTATGCGCGGTATGCTCTTCCATCGGTTCGGTCGCTTCTGCAGTAGAATGTGGGGGCGACTGTGTTGGAATTTGCAATCGTTGTTTCAATACGTTAGGAGAAATGAAAGTGGAATTGGCATCATTGTCACTAAAATCGGTTCCATCGCCTGCAAAAGACGTCCTTCGTTTCGCTTTTGATCTGGTGGATGGAGGACGCGGTGGATAATGCTGACTCTGCGAAACAAATTGAGTCGTGGAGTTTGATCGCCGCAATGGAGAGAGAGGAGTACTAGTAGATGTCGACTCGTCTGTTGGTTCCACAATGCCTCTTTTTTCTTTCGACATGCGTCGTCCTGCCTTTCGAACCGATTTTCGAGACGACGAACTGGATTCCGGAGGAGGGTTGACTTTTTCCTCTTCGGGTTCCTGTTTCATCACATTTCGTTTTGACGCTTTTCGTTCCGTGGATCGTCTCTTGGAAGAAGTCGACATGGATGTTCTCTTGTTGTTGGAAGTCGACGACATTTTTCCAGCACTACTGTGCCCCGCTTGTTGTTGTTCCATGGCATCCAAAGCGGCCCCCGCATCAGGAATACTGGATGTGGAATTTCGACGACGCGCCTTCTTTTTCAGCATTTTGGGCCGCTCTTCTTGTTCTTCTGCTTCTATGGATCCGGTACTGGTGAGTGGCAAATTGTCGGGCAATTCCTTGGAATCGGGAGCAGTCGTCGTGGTTGTCGTTGTAATGGCATGACCAATCGACGAAGCTCTTCGTCGTCGTGTGCGAGGTTTGGGTCGGGCACGTCCAGTGGTTCGTGGACAAGATGCCAATTGCACGGAATCGGCTTCTCCCACCGTGACGGGTTGGGACGTCGCAGGTAGATGACTTCCCGATTTTCGACGTCGTCGTTGTCGGGGTGTCGCTGCCACGCCCGTACCCGCCGCACGCGAAGTTCTCCGGGGCGATACAAAGGATGCGGGAGTGTCGGTATTGGCATTTTGAATGGTTTGTCTCACCGAAGCCAAATTGAATGTTGTATCTGAAACATCATGCATTGTTGTTGGATCCGGAGTCTGATCTGCCGTGGTCGTTGTCGCCGGCATTAATTCTGGAACCGGCGACGATTGTTTTTTGGCAACGTGCGATCCCGATGATCGTCTTCGTCGTTCGGGTGCAGCTGTTTCTTCCACAGAAGAACGACGTCTTCGACGATTGGTTGTCTTTTTTGTGCCGGCACTGGTCCGACGGTCGGTACGATGATGCGTCTGTGCACTGCTGCTATTGTCCATGAGGGGGAGCTTGGACGGCAGTTCTTGCTGTTCCGTTGCTTCCGTAGTGAAAGTGGATTCGGACTGCTGGAATTGTTGTTGCTGCTGCTGTTTTTTGGATGATGATTCTTTCGGACTACTACCGTCATTGTTGTTTGTAGATTTGGTGGTTGGTTTGGGAGTAATATACAAATTTCCATTGGGCAATCGTCGTACAATTTTGGTAACGTGTGGCGACATGAGATCTTCCTTGGTCATGGTGGTTTCGATCGTCCCGTGCGTGGCACTATTAATGACCAATTTGGTCGGCGAGAGCAAGAGTTCTTCGACATGGAGCGGTGGAATGGAATCCGTCTCGGTTTCGATGGGAGTTGTTCTGCTTTTTGTGGTTGTTGTCGTGTCTCTTCCATCCCCCGCCACCGAAGCCCTCCTTCGCGATGTTTTCTTCTTTTGTTTGGTCGTCGACGTTCGTGGTGTTTTGGGTGTATGTGGAGTACTAGTAGTAGTTTCTTGTTCTTTGTAGTTGATGGAAGAATTGGAATCCTCACCGGAAACGCGACGTCGGGAAACATCTCTCATGGAAGGTGCCAATTTGGTCACGGGCGATTTGACAAGGGCACTGGCAGTACTACTAGTAGTAGTAGCTGGTGCGGGTGAATTCAAGACAATATTGGTGGCTTTGGCAACCGTGGCCATTTTGGGTTGCTTGGGTGTGGCGAGTAAATCCTCCGTGTCGGCAGCCGAGAGATTGGGATGTGAAAAGGAGCGACGATTCATGAGACTGGTTCGGTTGCTATGACTCGTCGTGGCAGCCGTGGAAGTCGTGTGCGAAGTTGTATGGTTGCTGAGTCTCTCGGACAACCGTCGTGACAATTCTTCTTCCGGATCTCCTTCCTCTCCTCCTCGATGACTGTCTTTCAGCGCATCCAAGGGCGCCAATTGTGCGGCAGGAGGATCCAATAGTTCCATGTCCACCAAGTCTGTGACTTCACTCGTCGATTGTCGTTTGTTGCTGCTGCTGTGAGTGCTCGATTTCTTTCCCAAAATGTTCATTTTTTGAGCAATTTTCTTCAACCCCTTGCTCTTTTTTGGATGCTGCCCTCCATTAGTATTGCTATGGCTACGACCCGACAAGTCCGTCATGGCATGAGTGTCCCCTTCTTCCCGATCGACGAGTGCCATAGCGGCAGATTCCTCCCCCACAGCAATGGCCCCCCTGCCAGGACCCTTGTGCTTTTGAGAGCTCCCGCCGCCATGAAAAATCTTGGAAACTCGTTTCATTCTTCTTCTTCTTTCTAGCTTTCCACTTCACAGGATCGTCCAATCCGAAAGCCACGGGGCAGGCGGAAGCTGTGGGAAGATCCGAAAAAGATTCGATTCTCGCTGCTCTGAAGCCTTCCTCTTCTTTTCAGTCTCGTCTCCGTCTAGCTAGCAAGGCTCAGGTCCTCATCACACTTCAGCTGGTAGTGTAGCGAGGAGATTATCTATACGGGTAGCTGGTCCTATAATATAGTCAAGTATTGCTGATCTGCTTTCTCAAAACAAAAGTGGTTCCACAAGCAACAAACAGCAAAGGCTCGGTAGGTTGGAAGTTGGGAACGCGAAGCAAAGAGTACAGCCGTAAATGTAGCAGTCAAGCAGCCAAAACTGCCAACCAACAGCGAGCAAGCACAAAGTTTCAACGAATTCGAAATACATACATGAAGGCAGAAGGCAGATGGACTTTTGAGCGTTTTTTGTAATTTTTTTTTAAAGAAACCATTGGACAAAAATGTCCAGACGCACGTGAGGGGTGAGGGTAGTCGTGATTAGAGGAGCTGTAGAGGTCAGAGGTACTAAATCTGAGTGCAATAAATGAGTTAAAACTATCGATATTAGGAACACCTTCCGCTTCTTTTTTGTACACTTCTGGTTCACATTGGTCAGAAGCTTTCTGGGGCAACTCACTTCACGCCATGTAAAAGGGAAAGGAACTACTTAACGAGGTTCAATTCCGAATTGAATCGATTCAATCGACTCGACTCGAGAGCTCTCGAGCCTCACGCATTCCATTTCGCGGCTCTTGCAGATCTCTTCCCGTTCCCCTTCAGCGCACTCTCACAAATCTTGTTGTTGACCAAAATATTGGAGAGGATCGTCTTCTTTCACCACGCTTTCGTTGTCGACGGTCTCATTCCAAGTACCTAGCTATCCTATCTGCTTTAGATTTCCTGTTCAAAGCTGTCAGCCAGGATCTCAAGGCTCAATAGTTTGCCATTATCAACAGCAGCACCTCTTCTTCCTCAAGTCGCCTCTTCTTGCTAGGTGGCGTCGTATGCAAGTCTGAGATTCCACCGTCGTACCACCGGTACTTTCCCAACGTTGACAATTCCTCCAAAGCCGAGACTTCTCGCCACAGCTTTCAGCTCTGTTTGCCTGCTCTTGCGGCTTGACAAGTCCTTGGTTGTGGTTTGGAAGCCAAGCCCAATTTTCCTTGTCCTCGTCATTTTTGGGCCGCGCAGATACGTGACACGTGACGTCATCCAGTCCTGGAAGACATCGCATCGACACTATTACCGGTATCACAGACGACTGACATTCCCGAGATCACACAAAGTTGAGCTCACAGTTCCCACCAACCCGAAGTCGCCATCGGCTCGTAGCTGCTTACCAGGACAGTGCTTGTTGTGGCGTTGACGCTATAGCTAGCTAGACGAGGCAACTTCCAGAAACATCGGGTTCCAATCACTTATCAATTGCAGCAAAAAGTGAGTATTCTAAATATAATTTACTGGGATTGACAGAGACAAGCCTTCAGGCTGGAGTTCTGGTGCCGAGTGCAAGCAAGCACAAACACCCGCGTTTGTTGAAACCAGAACACCAAATCACCGACCCACATTTTTTTTGTTGCCATTCAAGAGAAGCCTACAAAACTACAATGGACGATTTAAGTTGGCGCGATGGCAACGACAACCCGCCAAGGGTTCCTCCACCCTCGCATGCCGTAAGGAAGAGTTACCATAGCGACGATGATTCCTTCAGCAGCGAAGGTGACTTTAGCGATGAAGAGGCGGACTATTCGATGAATCGATCTTCCAACAGTCACAGCAATACTGCACCGCTAAGCCTTCCAATGCACCATGCAATGCCCGGCCGGCACAAGAATCACGAGAATCAATCGCTCCACACCAACACCACCGTTTCCTCCGACCACAGCAGTAGCGGAGGATACAGTCGAGGCAATGACGAAAAAGTCTACCCAGCGCCAGCGCCTTTTCCACGACGACAAGTGAGCCAACGTTCCATGGCGCTCGGTGCAGTACCGGAGCAGCCCACACCACAGGGGCCTGACGAACTTATTGGATTGGCCAGTCGAAGGCATCAACAGCCGGACCGCCCTCAGGAACCACTCAGAGCCAGCATTGGTGGTAAGTAGAAGAAATCAAGAAAAGTGTGCCCGAATTGTGCTAGTCTCACCTCTCTCTCTCTGCATACAATCATGTCATTTTAGAATCCCCCAAGCGCAGACTCAGCAGAGCTGAACTGAGAAATTTACCCCCGCCGCCTCCTCCTGCAATGCCGCCACCGCCGATATTCGCACAGTCAAGAAGTGAACCAATGGGATATGCTTCGGCGGCAGCAGCCCCTCCGCCCTTGCGTCAATACCAAAGCGACCTTGTAGACCCCATGAAAAGTGTTGGTGCGTTGTCAACTA